GCGTATCATGAATAAGGCCGGCCATCATCATATCAAAAAGACAGACAGGTGTGTCGTAGGCGTGCAAACATGTCTACGAACTAACATTGCGATTCACAGTCAGTCATTAGTACAGTTGCTTTCTATTGAAGCCAGATGTTTGATATCATGACTTCGGGATGCCTTTCCACAGCCTGCACGTGTATACTTATTCCAGGTCAACGTCAAGAACCTCCCTCACCTGGTGTTCGGATGGGCTTGTATTTACCAGGGAAACAGATCGGCAGACGGGATCTCGCAATGTGCGTTGTCCCCATCGTAGAAACTTCGCCATCTCACATCACAAAGATAGATGGAGGGCACAGAAATACAACACACACACACACAAGCATCCATTCGTCCATCTTTCGTGCACAGTTTCCAATTTCCGCCTAACTACGTCCTCAAGAAGCTAATAACCACCATCTCCACCTCATCCCGCGACAATAACACTATCGATCGGATCTCCAGACGCCAACCATCCATCCCATGGCAGGATCTCCAAATCGTTCGTCATCCCATGAGCTCGCAGACCACCTCAGCAGTCCCATCTTTCCCGAAAAACAAGAGACGGCACCGTCATGCGGACTTCACGTATCCATAACAAGACATACAAGACAGATACACACAACACCGCCGCCGCGAGGCACCAGGCCCGAGAGATTAGACAATAGCCAGAAAAGGTGTACTTGTAGTTCGCCCTACATCCACACTCAGACTCACATCCTCATCTGCCCACACCAACCCCAACACGCAATACATAACACGTACACACACACACGAGAGACAGAGAGGGAGAAAAGTTGAATATGTGCAATAAAAAAACTGAACATTACCAATTCAAAGAGTTATGGTAGAAGAAAGGGTGTTGGGTTCCAGAACGTGGAGTTTAACTCGTCCAACAGGTATGGTCAAAACTCCAACACGAAAAAGGGGGAGGGGGAGTGTAACGGTCGTCGCCCATTAAACAACAACAAGAACGTCTCCAACCAAGATTAACAAAAACGCCACCACCTCTCGTTTCGTGTCCCTTTTTTCCCTTATAGTCATTTCAGTGTCATTTTAGGGGAGTTGGAACAAATAAACAAAAGCCCTGTTATCCATAAGCATGGAAATAACCAAAGCAAAAAAGCCCGGAAAGACAGGACCCCGTAGACGCCAGTTCGTTACGTCAATGCTCTTCGTCTTCTTCCTCTGCTTCTTCTCTCCTTGCTTCCCCCTCATCATCTTCACTCCACTCAGACAGTTGCTGTCTTTCACTCTCCATCCGCCACTGTAATGCTTTGTTCCGTTCATCGTTTGGTTTCGTTCGTTTCGTGGGTAAATTTAGAAATTAAGAAAAGAAAATAGAAGAAAAGGTAGGTATGGTATTACCAACCAATTCAAAAGGAGGCCGTTTGTTCATCAAGACGACTGGGTCTTCTAGTCCCCGCGTCCGCGATAGTTACCCATTTTCTCGATCGAGCTCATGATGCCGCTCCGGGGCCCGAACTCACTCATCGGCCTGGGTCTCGGAAGGCCCTTGGTGGCGGGACCAGCGCTACCGTTACGCTCGTGAAGGGAGCCACGCGCGGCAATGGATCCGGGCGCCTTAAGGCCCGAGCTGCGGCCGATGCTGCTGCGGAAGTTGTTCTCCGTGTGGCTTCTAATCGGGGGACCGGGTGTCCGCGAGGCAACAGGTGTCGGCGCGGGCTTGGGCGCCGGGGTTGGCGGCGGAGGCGCGGCGTTCTGGATCGCCATCATCTCTTCGGCGAGCTGAACCAGCTCACCCTTTTCGACGCGCTCCTGGGCGAGGAGGTCGCGAAGCTCCGAGTTGTCTCTCTTGACCGACATGACGACGGCCTCAAGCCTGTGGACGTTGGCGCTGAGCTCCTTGATGTGGGCTGAGTCGCGGACGGCTTGGGCCTTGAACTCCTCTTCGGCGGCGACCTGGGCGGGATCGACGCGAGTGATGGTGCTGTCTCGGCGGATCTTGTCGTTCTCCTCGGTGAGCTCCTCAATCTTGACCTCCAGCTCGCGTACCTTCTTCTCCCAGCGGGTCTCGTAGCTCTTCTTGAGCGCCGCAACCTTGGTCTCGTGCTTGCCCTTGTAGAGAGCGTGCAGCTCGCGGGCCACGCGCTCCACCGCAATCTCAACCTCCTTGGAGGTCGCGGCCGCACCGCCCCTGGGCGAGGAGGGCTTGTCGTCAGTGGACTTGCCGGCGCGGAAACTCGCCAGCTTACTCTCGGCCTCCTGAGCCATAGTCTCGGCGGCCTCGCGTCGTCCCTCACTCTCTGCAAGCTTGGATTCGAGCTCCTCGCGCTCCTGCTGCGTGTGGACAATTTCCTCCTTTACGCTCCGGAGGACCTTTTCCATCTCGCGACTGCTCTTCTCCCACATCTCCTTCTCTTCGGCGACCTGCTCTCGCATCGTCCGCTCTTCACGGGCCTGCTCCAAGCTCTCGCCGACTCGTTTTTCCGCATCGCCCACAGCCGTCTTCAGAGAGGTCACCTCCGCCTCCTTGCCCAATAGCGATGCTTTGAGGCTGCTGATTTCGGACAGGAAATTCGACTTTAGACTTTCGAGTTCTCTGGGTGTAATGGTCGGGATGCTGCGGGGAGTAGGCAGGGCGGGAATGTCAAAGTCGAGGAGGTTCGACATTTGGCGGGCCGGAGTGGCATTAGGGTTTGCTCTGGAGGGTGAGGTGTTGCCCCGCCTGGACGGCGATTTGTGCGGGAATCGCTGGCTGGCCGTGAATTCCAACAGATTGGTAGTGTTGCCATCAGAGTCCTGTCCCGAATGCCGCCTTGGAGTCTCCTGCTGCTCGTGCACGGTCTCTGGCCTCCCTCGCGGGGTCATGCCGCTGACGCTCGCGTACTTTGTGGGAGACTGACCCAGTTTCGCGAACATGGTCAGATTGGGAACGGCAGAGAAAGTGCTGAATGCACTCATCATCGACTCGTCGGGATTGGCGAGACTGCTCTGGTCCTCGTAGCCCGCGTGGCCCAAGTCGGGGTGGTCTCCGTCACCCTCGCCCGCGCTCATAGTGGTCGTGTCGCCGCCAATGGTCTCGTCATTCTCCAGCTCCGTATCATCGTCCTCGAATATCTGAATAGCGTGCTTCAAGCCCTCGTTGTCGCGCATGGCGTCTTCAAGACTGATTGTGCGTTCGCGAGGCGGAGGAGATACGGTCGGAGGAGAGATGGAGCGTGATGCGGGCTCGACTGACGGGTTGCTGACTCTGATAGGGAAGCGTTTGACGCCGTCAGGCGAGATTACTGTCTTGCGAAGCGGGCTCCGCGCTTGCTTTTCCGTTGTCTCGGAGCCGGCGAGTAGCTTGAGCGGTGAGGGTGCGGTGCCAGACATGACGCGTGAGTGGCGCTGCGGCTTAATTGCCGTCGCCGGCGCAGAGGGCGGCGGCGACGGCGAGGAATCCGAGGGAGAAGGTGGCATGTTCTCCTGGTCTCGGGCGTTGTCGTCTACGGAGTTCGAAGAGGTGATTGTGGTGTTGGTTGTGGTTGTGGTGGTGGAGGAGCTGTCGCTGCCGCTCTCATTACCGCCGCTCGTGGTTGTCTCAGTGCGGGAGTGGACCACCTCGCAGTGCTCAAAGAAACCGCGGCTTGTTGCCTCTTCAGTCAGGGTCGTTGCAGTGTTCAGTCTTGATTCGTTTGTCGGTGACAACGGCGTCATTGTGCGCGAACTCCAAAAAAGCTAGAAGAGGTTTCGTTTGGTTTGCAAGTGTTGGAAGCGCGAAAACTAAGGTGAGGTAAATCGTCAATTGATTGATATTTCGATAGGATGTCTAGCAAAACCCCATTTTGGGCTCGCTTGTGAGATGAAGGGGGTGCGAAGGGGCCCAGGCTTGTTTGCTGTTGACAGAGCAACGACTACCGAGAGAATGCACAGACAAAGGGGGTTGGTGGGGCTCAGGGTCGCTACAGCAAATTCGCACACCGAGGCTCTTCACCGACGTCACCGATAGCGCGGAAGGTGAGGTTGGCCTCTATTCTCGAATCGCCTTCTCTCAAAGACTCACACAGGTTATTGAGGTGAAGCTTGTAGCAACTCCAAGGATCGTAATATAACACCCAAAATCAATTCAGCTATGACCCTCTCCAGCTAGACCTCATAAGTTGCAGCGACCTAGCTCCGACATTTCACGTCAGGCTTTCAGAGTTTCGGAAGGGCACTGCCTGTGCGATGCAGGAAACTGGTCAAATGGGACGCATGTGAAAGTGCAGCAGTACAGCGACGGTCTAGGTAAAAGTAATTAACTAGGCAAGATAGACAACAATATTTATACGTGTAAATCCGTTCCTTCATATCTCAGCAAGGGTAGTGCTCGTCTTGCGCGACTGAACGCGTTGCTAGCTAGAGCACAGTGACCACGTCATTTCCCACCACGAATTGAAAAAGGGGAAATTGATTTCTTCCGTGCAGCAAACTCCCGGGCACATCTAATTGACCAGAATCTACTGGTACCGAGCGTGCTCGAACTTGACCGAGCATCGGAGGCTGTACTTCTGAAGTCCTGACCGTGGACTCAACATCGCCATGAAACTTGCGGCCGCATGCAACACCACACCGCCGCTGCATTGTCAGCAAATGTCCCCAAAGTCAAAAACACTACCGCGGGCGTGGGGGTGCCAATTTGGTCCCGGTCCAGCAGAGTTAGCGCAATCTGTGTAAAGTATCAACGGGCCTGACGAGTCAGTCTTGGGTCCCTGCATAACCCGACATCTCCGGGACCAGGCACAGACATTTGCACAATCACCAATTGACGTAAAAAAGACGAGATGATTGAAACATTGTGTTCATGGACAGCAAAAGAAATGGTATTGAAGGATCCCAAAAGTCAAGATGCAAACTTTTGAACCAGGCCCAGATCCCCTAGAATCCGGTCATATAAAGTACAAAAGTCCCCCGTCCCCGGCACAGTGGTTAAGAAATGGCCATTCCGAGTAAAATTTTTATCTTCTCCCAAAGCAAAAACGCCGAACCGCTTACTTCTGGTTCTCGGGACGCAGAGAGCTGCAGAAAAGATAGATGTTAGCCAGTGATCATCAATGTGTATAAAATCGAGTGCTGTCAAAACGTACCGGACGGCTCTGCCGGCTCTCCAGATCTCAAGGTTGCGGATCTCCTCCATCTCAGCCTCGAACTTCTGGCGGTAGTCCTTCTGGGAGTTGTACTCCAGGGAGCGCTTGGTCTCGGAGCCATCCTTGACGGCGTCGTACAGGCTGTTGAAGACGGGCTTGAGGGCGTCCTTGAACTTGGGGGACCAGTCGATGGCACCGCGGCGGGCGGTGGTGGAGCAGGCCTCGTACATCCAGTCCATGCCGTTGGCACCGATCAGGGGGTACAGGGACTGGGTGGCCTCCTCGACGGTCTCGTTGAAAGCCTCGGAGGGGGAGTGGCCGCGCTCACGGAGAACCTCGTACTGGGCGAGGAACATGCCGTGGATACCTCCCATGAGGCAGCCACGCTCACCGTACAGGTCGGAGTAGACCTCCTTCTCGAAGGTGGTCTCGTAGAGGTAGCCGGAGCCGATGGCGACACCGAGAGCCTGGGCCTTCTCCTTGGCCTTGCCAGTGACGTCCTGGAAGACGGCGAAGGAAGAGTTGATACCACGGCCCTCACGGAAGAGGGAGCGGACGGTGCGGCCAGAGCCCTTGGGGGCGACGAGGATGACGTCAATGTCCTTGGGGACGTCGACATGGGTGACGTCCTTGAAGACGGGGGAGAAGCCGTGGGAGAAGTAGAGGGTCTGTATTCAATGTCAGCTTCGAGGCCCCAATTGAGCTGTTTGCTCAATTGTGTGAGAAATGACGCACCTTGCCCTTGACGAGCTGGGGCTTGATGGCGGGCCAGGTCTCGGACTGGGCGGCGTCGGAGAGAAGGTTCATGACGATGGTACCGCGGGAGATGGCCTCATCGACATCGAAGAGGTTCTTGCCGGGAACCCAGCCGTCCTGCTGGGCGTCCTTCCAGGACTGGCCGTTCTTGCGGACACCGACGATGACGTTGAGGCCGTTGTCACGGAGGTTAAGACCCTGGCCGTGACCCTGGGAGCCGTAGCCGATGAGGGCGAGGGTGTCGTCCTTGAAGTACTCCTACAAACGATTGTCAGTTCCAATTGACTCCCTTCCGAGCCCTCATGATTGTTTGTGACTCACAAGAAGCTTCTCCTGGGGCCAGTCGGCACGCTCTGTAGCATCAACGTCAGCAAATCTCTCCCTATGACTTCCCTGGCGAGTCATTCGCAACGAGGCAAAAAGACTCGTCAGCTCTGGTCGGTTTCCTTACCGTAGACGTCCTCCTTGTGGCCGGCGAAGTCCATGGTCTTGACACCGCGAGCCTGCTGCTGAGCAGGAGCGACGAAAGCCTTGTTGACCTGGGCAGAGGCGCGGACGAGCTGGCGGGCAGCAACGAAGGTGCGCTGCTGAGTAGCAGGCTTGGCCGCCAATTGGCGGGCCATTGGCGAACGAAGCGCCTTGGAGAAGCTGCGGGAGGCCATTCTGACTGTGTGTTGGGGGAGGAGGGAGTGGAGAGGGTATCCGTACAAGTCAATTGTAAGAAAGAAGAAGGAAGAGATGGATGAAGAAAACAGAGTTTCACTGATGAGAAAAAGGCGTTTGGAATTGGGAAATTTTTTACTGGCGTAGAGACGGGCGAGCTGACCCCCGACTTCGGCCCAGCTTGGTCGTTGGTGGGTTAGCCTGCTGCGTCGTCCTGCTGCTGGCCTGTGCCAATGGTGGGGAAGATGTCTGGAAGCGTCCGGGGTTCGGTAGGGGGTCCTCCAAGTGGGAGAGCGGGTACTGGAGACTTTGGAGAAGGCAGGGACTTTGCTGGACCAGGCGGGTAACCTCTACTTGGTCCGGTTCTCATTTGGCAGCGGCCTTACCTAAGAACCTCGGGGAGCAATCAACGTTATTGCCGGCGAGGCGGGTGCTGTGGAGCAGGGGAGAGCCCACCACACCGACATCGTAGCCCAGTGGCCAGACAGGAGTCACACCAGATGGGCCGCAGGCGGAATCTCACCGACTACTGGGCGCCGGCTACGGCCAATGACCTATGCCTTCGGCCTCTCTCTGCAGCTACAGCTGTTGACCGGTTGCCGGCGCTGAGCTGCTGTGACTCCTCCTTTGATGAGCTCTGACTCTTCTTTTCAACTTTCTTGTATGGAGTACGGATACCATTATGGGGGAGTCAATCTGCCCGGTAATTGGCTTCCATTCTCCATGTTTGCTTCTTCTCCTGCCGTGACACGGCAACGCTGTTTGCATTCCAGCTATGCTTCTGCGACCTCTCGAAACTCATCACTTCTTCCCGCTAGTCACCACATCTTCGCCTTCAGTCTGACTTCCGCCTTCCACAGCGCATCAACGAACCCTTCTGTGCTGCGCCCTCGCTAGTGCTATCTCTAAACTGGGCTTGATGTCTTGCCAGAACCTTGACCTGTTGTAATTTGTAATCTTGTCTCCCCAAACGCCTGACGACGATGCTTGCTTTTGATGCCCACCGACCCTTCAGATGCGCATTCCACCCTTCCGCGAACGAGCAGCCTGTCCGTCCGTCTCTAGTATCGAATCCGGGCTGGCCTCTTGTCTCGCCAAACGGTCATGTCGTTAGAGAAAAGTCCAGCAGCGAGATGGACGCTATCTCCTTGCTGTTGCAGATCTTATTTCAACACACGGTCGTAGCTCTGCCCTTGGACAGTGCCACCGCCCATCGCGGTCCGGACATTGCGCTTGAATCCCTCGCGGTTGAGTCTTAGATCATCGGCAGCCTCCTTGTTCAGAGGGTCAGAGGCATTCGGTTCGAGAAACAGGAACTACGAAAAGAGGTCTGTTAGTTGGTGCCCACCCAGAATCGTGCTTTCTGCTCGTCAACATACTTGGAGTCCGACAATGACCGCGTTCAAGTTGAGAACGGGCTTCCAGTCTTCGCGCAGAATGTTCAGGCAAACCTTGCCCTCCAGATCGATATTAGGGTGGTAGATCTTCTCCTTGCATCGGACTTTTGGCGGTTCGTGAGGGAAGTTTTGGTTGATGTCGAATGTGAAGGTGAATCGTCCGGTCCGGTACATGCCCTCATCGGGCTCGATCGTAAGCGTGAAGTGGAGAATGTCGTCAGCGTCAGGGAAGTCGGTCTTCATTGTTGATCCGAGAGATAGTTCCGAGAGATCTGGAAGCGAGCGTAAGCAACGAGATCACGATTTTCTTTCCTTGGCTGGCTGAGGGGTTCAGACCTTTCTGCACTCGAAGTTGCGCGGCAGTCACCTTTTTCTTCTTGCCACCCGCAGCGTCGGCATTTTCAGCCTTCTGCTGCTCCTTCTTCTGTAAGAGGCGTTAGTAGTCCCCTTACCGAGAGGTTCCGGTGGTCACATACCATAGACCAAATCTTTAGCATCTTGTCCGATCTCTGGCGGGGTGTCTGGTGGGAGGAGTTGGTGGGGCGCTCTGTGAGAAGGGCGAGACGGGGAACGAGGGCACGCACACGACCTGGGTGGAAGATGGTGTTTTCCTGAATCAGTGGTGTTTGCGCGGTAACCAAGCAGTTGAACAACAAGTTAAGTATAAGGTAATCGTCTCTGTCCGGAGTCTTGCGGTCTTGGGACGGGAAGGTGCCTGGAGGAGCGGACCAACTGGGCACCAGTCAATGCGGTCACTTTCTGGTTGCGATAAGATAGGGTGGGTGTATTATTTACCCGGGGATCTACCGACCTAGAACCACTCTTGTCAGCTTGCCTCAGACCCCGGTCGTTGAACAACTATTGAACAATAGCAATCTGAACAAATGAAGAAATGCAAAGAAAGCCATGAAAGGACGGAAGCACTCTGGGGCTGGGGTGCTCAAAGGTCGTCGGTTTGTCAGCGTCCATGTATCGTGGTCGGCCAATACCCGCGCGCTTTCATACAGCCGCCAAGTTGACCGGAAGCTTCTATTTTACCACCCGATTGCATGCAATCAGTCTGTGAAATCAGATGCGTTCAAAGTTGATCACCAGTCTCCGAAGATCCGTCCATGTGGATTGAGGAATCATGTTTAAAATCATTGTCATTGTCTGATACTAAGCGTAAGGTATTGTATCCATGTAAAACGCCATGAATGCTGCTTAATCGAAACTACTTTTACTGAGCTTCCGCTCACTTCATCAAGAATCTGCCGAGTCCCGTGTCCTTTATTACTCAACACATGCCCAGAATGGAAAACACAAGCGGATTCGTAGCAATGAGCCAAAGCTGGCAAGAGTACAGTCTTCCCTCTGATACACATCCAACACGCGTCGAGAGGTTCGGCGCCTGTTTGGACAATCTCCTCTGTTTGTCTGTTTACCGTCTGGCAAAGCAGCACATGATACCGGTCCTGCCCAAGAACCACAGGAATCCGAAGAAACGGACAAGTGACAAGACGGCAGTAGAGTACAGCAAGAAGCTGAAGTAAGAAGCAGTACGTGCTGATGCAGTTTTCTAGAAATGAGAGTTAGTATGATAATGGACTCGTATTTCGGGACCTTTGAACTTACGCCAATGCCGAACGAGTTGAAGTTATCACTCGTAATGACGATGATAAGGAAGGTGTTGGAGAAGAGCCAAGACACAACCAGACCGGTACGGAAAGACTTGTACGAGTCTTCGATGTCTGGCTTCTCGTTCTCCGGAGTTTCCTTGAAAGGCTCCAGCGCACGCTTGACCGTCGATTCGAATTGACTGTCGATATCCTCTTGCGGCTTGTCGATTTCTTCTACCACAGCTTCATCCTTCTCACCCTTGCTGACGTGTGCAGAAGGTAGGGCCTCGGTACTGTCTGAACCCTTTGTACCCCAAGACACATCGTGCCAGTTGTTGAAGGCGTAGACCATGAGAATGTTGATGTAGGTCGACATGAGCACCAGGTAGTGAGGGAAAGAGGTAAACATGTGCCAGGGGTCGAGGTACATGAAGGAAGCGATGAAGTTCAGACCGTAGATAGTGACCAAGGCGACGAGAATGACACCGGCAGCGTTTGTGCCTCCGAAGAAACTAGCAACGAAATCCTCACCGGAGTCGAGACTGATCTGCTCGCCAATAGGTTTCTGGAAGGCCTGGACAACCAAGTACATCGAAAGGACCAGGATGTAGGATTGAATGAGACCGAAGACGACGAAAGAGGCGATGTAGGTGTACTTAGAACCCTTGGGTCTGTTACCCAAAGCCAAGATGAACTGCAGAATAACGAAGGCCAGGTAGAGGTACTTAAGAAGGGCGTTAACGATAGGAGTGGCGGTGTCTCCGAAGGGCCAACCGCTGCGGGCCACATCGGGGTCGTCGGAGGTGACGGCAGTACCGACAAGATCCATGATGACCGTCGTAGTCAGGTAGTAGGAACCCAAACTGAACCATGTGAACATAACCTGGAGGATGTTGTAGATGAGCTGGACGTGGAAGAAGAACATGCGGATAATGTTGTGGCCGGACTTGTACATGCGACCAAAGTGCATGAGAGAGTACAGAGAGGCAGCGAAGGAACCGTTGAGCCAACGACGACGTTGAGAGATGAACTCGGCAGCGCCCTCGGGAACATCGGTCTCACCCTTGGCGGCCTTGATGTACGACAAGTGCCACTTCTGGCCGGCCTTGGCGACCAGCTCGAAGCAAAGAATACGATCCTCTGCCAAGAACATGTTCTTCTTGAAAATGTTCATTCCGTCGATACCCTTCTTACCAAGGATCTTGGAAAGAGTGTGGTCACCGTGGAAGTACTGCTCCAGCGGGCGACCCATGATCGCGCGGAAGCGGTAGGCGGAGAAAGCACCGGGCAACACGGAGACATATCCAAAAGAGCTCTCGAGAGGCTTATCCAAAATGTTGGAGATCTTGTACTCGAAGTTCTGGACGGCAACCAAGGGGTTGAGCAGCTTCTTGCCGCCTTTGCCCAACATGGCGTGAATCTCACCACAAGCACCACCGAGGTCCTTGTCGTTGTAGAAGCCCTCCCAAAGCGCGAGCAGCGAGCGGGGACTAGGCTTGGTACCAGCATCGATGAGAATGCAGACTTCCGGGTTCAAGATGCGGCCGAAGGCGTTGAAAAGCCATCTGTGGGAGTTGATCTTCTTGCTGTTCTTTTGCTTCAGGCAGAAAATGAACTGCACAGGCGGGAGAGTGGATGGGCCGTCGTCAACGGGGCGGATAAGCTGCTGGTTGGGCGTGACGGACAATTGAGAGGTGTACTCGAAGATGTGAGCGACTGTCTCCTTTCCGTCGACATCCTTCTTCACGACACCATCCTGGTAGATACCGACGGTTGCGAGAACGTCCAACACGGCCTTGTCGGTCTTTTCGATACCGTCGAAAACCAGACAGACGACAATCTTCTGCCAAGCCGGTCCACCCTTGTTCCAGAAGGTAGACTTCTTCAGGTTGACAATGTCGCGAATATTCTGCATGACACCGTGGAGAGTTCTAGAGAGCAACACCTTGTCTTCGTTGTAGTAGGTAATTGCGATGAGGAGCTCGGTGTGTCGGTTATACATTC